AAACGTTTTCGTATGATAGTTATAAATAACATATGATTGTGTATATAACAAAGAGTATAGCAAAAGATTGATGTTTTTCACACGAGGAAAACCGTGTGTTTACTTGTATTCCCCTCCTTAAAAGTGTATAAAATCATTTACAACACATTTGAAAACATAGTTCTAGGGGTATGAACTCACTTGATACATAAAGTATAAGAAAACATAATCAATAGTTTGAAACACAAGTTTCCATGTGTTATACTTGTATCCCCCCCCCTCCCTTCTATAAAACATATAAAAAGTTTGAAAACCGTGTAGGGGTATGGACTCACTTTTTACACTAAACTACGTTTTGTCGGTTTTGTCGCGGATCTTTGTTTGGTCATAACTTCTTCGTTATAGCTTGGATTTTAGTGTTCTCTATAGTTCCGAAAACCTTGTTACAATATCTACCACTTGTTATATCCCAATTATGGTTATTGAACAATTTATTTTTGACCTAAATTTTAATGGTGTTACACATACCAAACAGTTTTCGGAAAATATAGGATTTTCTGGTGGTTTTAAAGTTATACAAATCATTTTCATAAACATGCTGATGAACTCACCAACATTTTTATGTTGACCTTTTTAAATTAACTTGTATTCTCAGGAAACCGTTAAACCATGTTGAGCTGATCAAACTAGTGGATGTTTAAGTTATATTTTGTTTCATCATACTATAACTATTTGGCATGTAATATTCAATTACAATACTCAATGTAAACTATGAATGTTGTTATATTACATGTGTGATGATGATGATGTTATGTTTCAAATATATACTCTGTAATGATACTACAATGTTGAAAGTCACGCTCAAGCCCCCGAACGTTTCTATTGTCTCGTTCGGGGGTGTGACAGATTGGTATCAGAGCATTGTTTATAGAGAACTAGCATATCTAATCATACATGATATGCAACTATATATACAATGGGACTAAACTACTCTGAGCATAATAATTAAAATACATACTTACGCGTGCATTTTAGAGTAATAACATAGCAAGAACAGTAAACGTCTTTGGAGGATTTGAACATCGCTATTAAACCCGGACACTTATGTAGTCGTATTAGGGGTGAATGTAGCTTGATCAACTACATTCATTCAAAATAAGACCAACATGTGTCCGGGGGTAATCATGATGGACAATGAATCAGAAACTTACCATTTAATTATCCAAAGAGCTTATAGAACCAAACCTAAACAAAATTAAAATACTATAGGAGTATTTGGTGTGCTATTTGTTTCAAGTATTTATACCCTTTCGTGCAATACACTATAGATGGGTATCATTAGCTAGGAAATTCCTATCTCCCTAGTCAGGGAAAAGCAGGGAGTAGAACTTGCAGATGGACCCGCTGAGTCAGTAGTGGACCTCGAAGAGGAAGAGCCCGGGGGCAATGACGATGATGTCTTGGATGCAGAATTCGACGTCATCAATCCTCCATGCATGGCTAGAGTACCAACTTATCGTATGGACCCGATGCCCCCCACTTCATCAGAACCACTAGGCACTTTCCGCCACAATTAGGATCAGCTTTTCCCCCACTACTATTTGTTATGATTCTCTTTTACATGCTAAGATCGTATTTACTAATGAAGCAATTATGTGTTTTCCTTGTTTCATGTTATTGCATGAATTCACTTATATGCACAACCGAACCCCTAAAACCGCTAGATACTCAACGATCTCGGAACCAAAATAATCCATGTACTCTAGGGATAGACTTAATATTCGTGCAGGATCTACTATTACTCACCACCATATATACATCATAGGGTTGTAGATTAGAACATGTAGAATCATACGACAAACACAAAGGTATAGAGTACAACCAGAAATGACCATCGTTACTTACGATCTTGCTTGTCATCATGCAGCAGGAAAATGTCATTCCACAAACATAACAAGTGCACCAGCAAGACACCACTCCTGCAAATGGACTCTGCTACATTCCAAGCTGCTGTAACAGCGGTAGTAACAACTACCATGCCACAAATCAACGCAAACAACACCAATGGAGGTGGAAATAGCATCGACAACTCCAGGCGAAGGAACGATCATGGAAACCAACAAGTGATAGCTTATCAAGGCACTCCAAACCCCAAGCTGAAGAGCAGGAAGCGGAAGAATGGAAGTAAGAGAAAAGGACAACCCACTCAAGGGTTCTCGAAGAAGCAACTTGTTGTTGTTGTCCATGCAACCATGACCCTACTACATCAACACCAGCGAGATCATATGTTGGAAGCCTTCCAAAATGCAACCAGTGTGATTTCCATCATAAGGGAGCCTGTCGGGCACCGCATTGTAAGAAATGTAACCAAAAGAGTCACACCACCAAATACTATAGAACTTATCCACGACAGAATCAGCAGCGAAACAAAAACAACAACAATCGCAACATCCATAACAACAACACCAATGTTGGGACCAGTCGCACATGCTATGGGTGTGGAGGAACCGGCCACTTCTAGCGTAATTTCCCCAAGACTAACAATTAAGGAGCAAAAGGATCAGGAAGGGTCCTGAATTTGGGTCAAGGCGAAGTGATCCAAGACTCGACTGTAGTTCTTGGTATGTTCCCACTTAACAACTCTTTCGCTTACCTCTTATTGCATAGTGAAGCTGAGCGAAGCTTCGTTAGTAACATATTCAAACACTTACTAAAACAACAACCCCAGAAGCTAAACGAAGCCTTCACAGTGGAGATGGCTAAGGGGAAAACTGAATCAACCAAAGATATTTATGTAGCGTACACCTTAACACTAAACAACCATTCATTTCAAGTAGATATAATGCTAGTAAACATTAGGAGTTTTGATGTGATAATCGGCATGGTTGGGTTAAGCCCCCACCATGCTGATGCTATGTGTCGCAAAAAGGTCGTTTTCCTTCATCTCCCCAGTCATAAAACTCTAATAACCTATGGTGATAAGCCTGCGAATTTCCGGATGTATTTCTTAAAGACCTTCCGGGAATACCTCCAGAAAGACAGGTCGAATTTCGAATCGACCTAATACCAGGAGCCACATCAAATGCCAATTCACTCTACAGGTTAGCTCCCGCCGAAATTCAGAAGTTATCCATTCAAACTAAGAGAATGGTTGAGCAAAGGTTTCATCAGACCCAACTTCTCACCCTAGGGAACTCCGGTCTCGTTCTTCAAAAAGACGGATACTTCAGAATGTGCATCAATTTTAGAGAATTGAATAAGATCACTATAAAAAACCGAATACCCACTTCCTCGGATTGACGACCTATTTAGCCAGCTCCAAGGAGCTAGTTATTTCTCCAAAATAGAGCTAAGATCCGGTTATCACCAGCTCCGATCCCAAGAAGAGGACATTCCAAAAAAAATTGCTTTCCGAACTCGATACGGTCATTTCGAATTGTCGTAGTGCCCTTCGGTCTATTGAATGCCCCCATGGTATTCACAGACCCTACGAACCGAGTTTTCCCAACCATTCCTAATCAGCCTTTTCGTTATTTTCATCAATAACATACTCTTCTGCTCACGAAGCAAGAACAAAACATTGTCAACACTTACGACCGACCTTGGAAAGCATCAAAGCCGGAGAATATCACAGTGGAAACACTGCATGGATGGATAAAAATCTCGAAGTCATGCTCCGAGCCTGGGTGTTTGAATTTAGCAGGTCATGGGATACTCTGTTGCCCTTGATTGAACTCTCATACCATAACAACTATCAAACGAGCATCAAGGATGCTCCTTTCAAGACTCTTTATGGTCGTAAGTGCAGATCACTTGCCAGTACTCTCACTAGACCAGAAACCATTCGCGAAACGACAGAGAAGATAATCCAAATTAGAACTCGACTTCAAACATCGCGAGACAGACAGAAAAGTTATGCTGACAAATGACGAAAACCTTTGGAATTCCAAGGCGGAGTTCGGGTACTATTGAAAGTCTTTCCCTGAAAAGGAATGATTCGCTTTAGGAAACAGAAAAAAAATTGAACCCGCGATCCATTGGACCGTTCAAGATTCTCGCCAGGATTGGTCCAATGGCTTATATGCTGCAGATCCCTGCCGAACTCAACAATGTACACCCCGTGTCCCATGTCTCAAATTTGAAAAAGTGCTTACCAGACAAAACTCTTATCATTCCTTTAAAAGAGATCGAAATAAACGAGAATCTCCTGTTCGTCGAAAAACCAGTCGAAGTATTGGATAGGGAAGTAAAGCGTACAAAACAAAGCAAGAATAAATAAAAAAACGAAAAAAAAATGTGAAATAAGATTTCAGAAATATATAATTAATATTTTAGCAATAAAAAAAAGAGGTTGGAAGTGGCAAAACAAGTGTTGCGCCAAGAAGAACATGCGCATATGTATTTTAATCGGGAGACTTCTGAAAAACAAATAGCTGCGAGATGAAAAATGTTGTGCGTGTGCTGCGCCGCGCAACAATAAGAGGTCTGAATAAATTTTTTCCAAAAAGCAGACAACACTTAAGTCTTTTCACCATTTCTCGCTCTCTTTTTTGCATATGTTTCTCCTGATTCTAATTGTGTCACGTAAAGATGATGATGGTAAGAATAACAGTAGTGCTGCAACAAAAGTCACAATTAAAAATTCTTCGGTTACGAAAATATACTAAAATCCCAATATTTTCAACGATTTGATAAAAATATCATAAACTTTATTTTTTTGACAGCTAATCCATAATTGACGATTCAACAAAAAAAATCCTAAACTATATTTTTTAACAAAAAATACCTAATTACCGGCTAAATAGAAAAAAAAGAGTAAAAATATTAAAAAACTACCGGTAATTTAAACTTTACTATAAAAAAAAAAATTCATAGATTTTCTTATTAAATAGTTCAAAATATGAGAACTTTAATGTATACCCAATTTTGCTACATATTTATTAAAAAAAAAATAAAATAAAATAAAATTCCACACATATTAAGTACGAATTATTCACATCTCTTAAACATACGCGAGCATATCTCTCTCTCTCTCTCTCTCTCTCTCTCTTTCTCTCTCGCTCGCTCGTTTGTATATATGCCCTAAAACCCCAACACTCGGACCCAATTGCTACCATTATCCTCTACATAAGCCCTGTTCTTTGGTTATCATTTCACTCATCTTCTGCGTAGAGTGAGAAACCGAAAGCAAAAGAGGTTGTTTCATGTATTTTTCTTCCGCAATCAGTCTTTTAAAATTTCTACAACACACTCCCCTAAAAATCCGCATCTGCAGTTTTTGATCCATTTCCAACCTTCCTATGGTATTTGCTCATTAAACCAATAAAACCAAAGTGAAAAATCTTGTTTTAAGGGATTTTGAAATGGCGCCCAGTCTTGATTACTTGGCATCAAGTTTACTGTGTGCAGAAGAAAACGACAGTATATATTACGACGACGACGACGACGATTTTGATATGTTATTGGATCATCCAAATTATCAAAATATTAATCAAAATCAGAGATTTATCAACCATCCTGAAACAGAGCAATGTGTTATTGATTTTCCTTTACGAAGTGATGAGTGTTTGGATTTGCTCATTGAAAAAGAATGTGAACAATTTGTGGATTTTTTTGATTATTTGAACAAACTGAAGAATGGTAACTTGGATTTGGTTGCAAGACAAGACGCCGTTAATTGGATTACGAAGGTTTGTTTTTGTTCTTCTAAATCCTTCATCGAACTCTATTCGATCTGACATTTTCAACTTTTTTTTTATAAAGTAAGGAGTTTTTTTTAGCGATTTTAATTATCGATTAATCTCTACTTGTATGAAACTAAAAAAAGAAACGAAAATCACATATTGCTTTAACTTTCATTGATTTATTTTGACCAGGTTCATGCTCATTTCAATTTTGGACCCCTAAGTGCGTATTTATCAGTAAATTACTTGGATAGATTCCTTGCTGTTTATGAATTGCCTGTAAGTTTTCGTATTTTTTATAAGAAGATATGATTAATTTGTTATATTACATTCAATTTGTTGACTAAAGTGAAACAATTCCTGTTATTAGGACAAAGCTTGGATGATGCAGTTGCTAGCTGTTGCATGTTTATCATTGGCAGCAAAAATGGAAGAAACCGACGTACCCCTCATTCTAGATTTACAGGTCAAGATCCTATTTTGACTAAAGTTGTTGACTTTCTTTGTGGTGTAAAATAATTTTGACCATGGAATTGGATTTTTGATTGAATTTGCAGATGGGTGGATCAAGATTTGTGTTTGAAGCAAAAACCATTCAGAAAATGGAGATGCTTGTGTTGACGACATTGAAATGGCGAATGCAAGCAGTGACTCCATTCTCCTTCATTGATAATTTTCTTGAGAAAGTCAAAGATGGTCAACCCACTTCCAAATCTAAGATTTTGAGATCAACCCAATTAATTTTATGCTTAATGAAAGGTAAAAATGATGTCTTTTTCGATTCATCTCATAATCCTTGAATGAAGCAATGAGGGTTAAAATCGTAAATTTACAATGTAGGGATGGAGTTCTTGAAATTTAGACCTTCTGAGATAGCAGCAGCAGTAGCAATTTATGTCGTGGGATCGACACAATTTTCTTCCCTGTTTCTGCATGTTAATAAGGTAATGTACATTGATACTTAAATTTTGTTAAATGTACAACTTTCATTGCACAAGATACAAGTCGGTAGAACGTTTTCCCGTGCCATAATTCATAAATATCAGTAGAGTTGTATCTTGTGCAATAAAGGTTGTACATTTGATCATATTTCCATGTAAGAAAAACCCTGTTTCTTTAGATCTCCAATGGTAGTTTAATGGAGAGTTGAATGGGGAGTTTAATCCCATTAAACTCAAAATCCCCATTGTGGGTTAATGACATGGCACTCAATAGAATAGGGAGTTCAATCCCCATTGAACTCCACACTCTCTCTCCTCACACACACATACATAAATGATGTGGCAATCCATTAAATTGTATTGGGTTTAATGGAGTGTAGAGTTTAATAGATAAAATTGTATTGTGAGTGGTATGTACATGTGGCAATCCATTGAACTCATTTGAGTTCAATGCATTGAAGATGGACTTAGTAGTAGTGTTTGAAGATTTCCTTGTGTTGACATTAAGATGGGTTTTTTTTGTAGGAAAGGGTTCTTGAATGTGTAGAATTGTTGAAAGAGTTGAGTGGTGGTTGTACAATGAGCTTAATGAGTGGTACATTGACATCAATGACAAAAAGCCCAATAAATTGCTTGGATTTGATTCAGCAGTTGAATCATGTCTAAACTCTGCTAAAAAGAGGCTCAACAACACATCATTTGATTTGAAGATTTAGGCTGATATTTTTAGTTAATAAATAAATTGTTTGGATTTGATTTTTGGTTTTTGATTTATTTTTGGTAGGATGAGTATTTAGTCAGAATTACCCTCCAAAAAAGAAAAAAAAAAGTCATGAGCTGTTAAATATTAGACCTCTTAACAGCTGGCGAAGATCTTGGGTAAAATTGGAAATATAAATACAAATTAAATTATGTATTTTTGGGTACATATGGTTTCTTGTACTCCTTTTATTTTGTTGAATTGCAAGAAACATTGGTTGATAAATTAATTATGTTTAATAATTTTATAGAAGAAATTATGAAATCCCATATTTGTAATGTTATTGGTAAGTAAATGATTAGATTGTGTACTTATTAATAAATAAAAGGGTAACCAGTTGAATAAATTTCCATTTAACGTAATCAATTTAAACAAACTGTACTTTCAGAATATTTTTATAATAAAGTAATGAACTTTAATTTTTCTATTTAATGCAACAAGCTTGAACATTCTTTTTATTTATAAAAAAACTATATTCCAATTTCTATAATTCATGTATTGACATATTACAGCCGGAAGAAAAATTATAGAGAAAATTCAGTAAATGACCAATAAGAGGGGTCATTTGAAAATAATAACCATAAAAAAAACTGATTTCGGAATCTGACCATAAGATCCGTAGAGCATTCTTGGTGGATCAAGTAATCCATCTGAGGAAACGGAACACCTCTGCGGATCTTGAGGTTTTTTTTATTATTATTATTTTTTTTTGTTTCGTTTATTAATATTAATTTTTTTAATACACTAATACCTTGTGTGATTATTATGTATAAATTTGACAAAAAAAGTTAAAAATAATAAACTTATGTTTAATATCACTCCATGGAACTGTTTGAGAATCCATAAAACTGTTATCAGCGAAGCAGTGTACGTCACTGCAGATCAATGTGCACCTTTACGGATTAGTGTATAAATTGTCATATCGGTTAAGTATTGTATTAACTCATCCCGATATTGAAAAATACAGAAATGGCCTCTAATGCTCCAACTTTTACGAATGCAACATCGTCATCTGATACTCCACGTCCATGGACAACAAGTGAGGTAATGATTATAATACGATGTTGGTTGAATGTTTTTGAAGGTGTAACAACAATGGTTACCCTTGATTACCTTGGAGGTGATGAATAGATCCGTATAATAGGTATGTTCAACCTCTCATTTGGACAAGAAGAATATCGGGTACAAGTAGATATTCTAAGTAAGTGGATGGAGTTAAAGAAGGAAATCACATGGTTCAATCGATGATATCATCATCTTAAAAATAGTAGTAATTATTATTACTCAAATGAGGAAGCTCTTATAGAAATGATTTTAGATCATTACATTTTCGAGCATGAGGGAAAAGACTTCGAGTACGTGGACACTTGGAATCTGGTTAAGAACCACCGGTATTTCATGTAGAAGGGTTTTTTTTTTATGTGAAATGTATTATGTAATATGTTTGCTATAGATGTACGTTTGTTTTCATGTATTTGTATTGTTCTGTATTTTATGTTCTGAATAATAAATATACTTTAAGTAGGTTACAAAACATACTTTAGAAAACATAAACATACAACCTTCATAATAAACATAGTTTGAAATACACTTCATTCATTCAAATCGAACCACATAAACTTTGATCTGTTATCATATTCTGGCTATGGGTTTTATGTTGCTTATGTCCTTAGGTTTACTGTCGCTTGCGTCCATTGGTCATATGGCTCTTGTTGCCATTGGTACTTGGTGCAACCCTGCCATTGGTTATGTGGCTCCTACGGTAGATATTCGGTCCCTTGCGTCCATTAGTTCTGTGGCTCCTGCTGCCATTGATGTTCGGTCTGTTGTGTCCATTGGTTGTATGACTGCTGCGACCGTTATTGTTCAGTATGTTGTGTCCATTGGTTCTCTGGCTCATGCTGCCATTGGTTTTCGGTCGTTTGCATCAGTTCCCCTTCTATCTCTTTTGTCCTACTTCCTGATGCTGCAGTACATTTTTTACTTTTGCTTTGGTTATTTGGAATGATTTCCTTACACGTCCTTGCATTATGAGTTGTGCTATGGCATCTACTACACCTTCTTATTTTTTGTTCCTCACCTTGAGAGGAAATATGATTGGTGTTTTTTGGTCTACTGGCTTGACGTATTTCCATCACGAGAGGCTTAACAACCATAAGGTCATCCGGAACCTCCCAATCACTATGTTCTGAAAGAGGGTATACGAACTGCTCGTACGTTCTTCGATATGTTTCAATTTAATAAGCATCTATAGCCATATGCCCACAGTGATCATTTTTCAAGTGCGTTAAAACCATTATCACATGACCATATGGGAAACCAGTTAGTTGCCAATATTTTCAAGAACAAGTCTTTTCCCTCAAATTCACTATGTCGCCACTTTTGAAGTCATGCACTTGATATGTTGCATTGTTAACACCGGATACCGACCATTCTTGAGTCCCCTCTTTATTTTTTAACCATATCTTCAGCCCACTTCGTAAGTATTGTTGTACTTTTTTCTGTTTAATATAGGCAACTTCCTTGCTTTATTTGATACATCATTCATGGACTCTGCACTATTTGAGGTCATATAATCATACAGCGTGGTAGGGCAATACGCTCTGGTCCATCTCTCACATGAAATTTGACTGAGATATGTTGCTACATCATCTCCTTATATTACGAAGTCTCCCCCAATAGAATTCAAATTCAGTGGTTTTGTAAGCTCTTACCAGCTTCCAAAACAAAATTGTTGTTTTTTTTGTTTTTTCCAAAGGTGTAGACTATGTTTCCTATTAGATGAAAACCAGACAATCCATGTTGAGCATTTGGAAAAACATTTTGAATACTTACAACAATTGCAGGTGCCCTATCTGTGACCATTTTCAGACCTTCCACATCACCAAGGCATTCATGTAGTTTTTCAAGAAACCATGTCCAAGAATTCGTAGTCTCTTTTGGGTAAATTCCATACCTAATAGATAAGATCTGATTGTTGCCATCCATGACTGTTGCATGCAAGATGGTTCCTTTGTATTTTCTATTCAAATGAGCACCATCTATAATAATAACTTTTCTACAACTCTCTTTGAAAGCACATATTTTCAACAACAATATAAAAATGATTAATATATCAACAATATAATTTGTTTATAAACATTTAAGAAAATTACAAATCTATTTAAAAATATATTACCGCGCATCCAATAGCGAAAAAGCAATACTCAAAACGATCATTCGAATAAGTTTTTATGTACGCCACAGTACCAGGATTATGTTTCTTCAGATTGTGAAAATAAAATGGAAGTTTGGAGAAACTTTCTTCGGGGGTCCCCATCATCAATCCCAATGAAACTTCCTTGACCCATAATATCATGTATTATGGTTCCTACAACTTCACTATTTGCTTGCGTATGATTTGGGTGTATAAGAAATAAAGAACATGTATGCTCGTCATTAAATGTCTTAATATCAAACATTTCTATTTCATTAATGAGAGATGTGTATAAACGCCAATGACAATTTTCTTGCATACAAACAACCTAGTACCGCGATTTTGAAGATTTTTCAACCTTTATCTGAAACTTTTCTCTAATGTCTTTGAATTTAACAACAAATGCTAGGCCTTTTTTGGTGTTATAGGTTTGATTGACAATTAATTTTTCATTCGGACCTAAACTGTGAAATGGTCCATGTTCAAGAATAGGTTTAGGACAATCAGGAATAAAAGGAATACAATACCATGGATTAAAAGCAATTTTTTGTTGCTTGTACTCATCATCCAACCACCCTTTATTTGATTGTTCCTCACATCTTCGATCCTCAATTTCAGGAACTTCTCCAAACTCGAACAATATTTGACGTTGTAATTCGATCACCCTTAAATTTTCTTCTTTATCACTAGCTGATACAAAAGTATCATTATTAGATACCAATTTATCAATAAACGAAACTTTTTTTTTCATAACCCACTAGAATGCCATTTCCTCTTCCCCTTGAACGGTTTCCATCACATTGGCTTTCTCTACGACCTCTATTAGTTTTTGCTTGATTAAACTGGTTGTTAACCACCGTTTGTTCTTTAGCTTCTTCACCTACCACCGTTAAATACAAATGCACCATCTTCTTTGATTCAGACATTACATGTCTCAATTGAAATACATCAGTTTCATCTCCAAGCTCCATGACATACGTAAACATTGCTCAAGAAATAATTGTGTTTTTATTTTCCATGCCCTCATTCTTGGAATTTTATTTTATGTGTGATGCGCAAACCTCAAAGCTTCTGGAAATGTCTCTAAAATCCATACCTAGTAATACGACAAAAAATTATACTTTCTCCAAACTTAAAAGCACTTAAAAAATATAAGTAATTGTGTAACATCCCAAAAATACGGGCCAAAAATTTCTTTTTTAATTAAGCGATTTGCAAAAGCGTTTGTAACAAAATATCACACGGTCATAATATTTGATAAAACATGTCTCGTGGCCGTAAACCAAAACATAAAACATGAAAATATCAGAGCACAAAATCCCATAATGACTCTTGGTGCGGAAATCAAAAGAGCGTGTGTGATGCGCCGCTACCGTGCCAGCTCCTTCCCCTTGACAGAAGAGGTACCTGAAACAACAACTGAAAACCATAAGCACGAAGCTTAATGAGTTCCCCCACTCTACCACATACAATATAATCACATAGCATACATACTGCCAGGCAATTCTGGGGTGCCCGACCTACCCAATACGACCATTCTAGGGTGCCGACCTACCCGTGTCAAGCCATTCTGGGGTGCTAACTACCCATGTCAAGCCGTTCTGGAGTGCTGACTACCCTTTGGTCCTAACAACCGAACCTTGGGGACTGCTCCCCTCCTACTACCACTAACACATATAACGAATCATACTGTCATATAACATATCATCACATACTGTCAGACATAGCTGGGGTGCCTGACCTACCCTTTGGTCCTAACGACTGAACTCTACTACTATCACATATCATGCCATCATATAACGTATCAGGTAGTAGCAAACCTAGATGATATCACAAAGACAATCATCTAACATACACCTCCTACTGGTGGGCTGGCATTGCGGCCGTAGACCCACCGCTACTAGAAGGTAACTTACCTCGAAAGTAGCTGCTGAAGTCTGCTTGCTAAGCGCCTGACTACTAAATCGCAAATCCTCCGGCTATAAATCATAAACATAGGTTAGACACCCATAAATACCCTTAGGTCAAAATACAAACCCTCCCTTGGTCCAAGGTCAACTCCTTGGTCAAAGTCAACATCCATTTGACTGGACTCGCCGAGTCCTTCTCCTATTAACCCGGTCCTACTCGACCGGTCCTTCTTCCCACTCATTGAATCACCCTTAACTCATTACTTGGGACGATTGAACCGACTCGCGACCCTACTCGCCGAGTTTGAAGAACAACTCGTCGAGCTCCAGGCAATCTTCGTAGGACTCGCTGAGTTGTTCATCCAACTCGCCGAGTCTAAGGCTATCATCATAGAACTCACCGAGTTCCACTTTGGGACCCGTCGAGTCCTTTGACCCATTTCCCATATAGACCAAATATGCGACATGCAACCCTTCAAAACCATAGATCTATGATCCTAGGGTATGCTTATCACGTAAAGTTGCAAACTTTACGTGCATGCATGGCCCTACAAGCTCCAAAAGGAAAATCCAAGCTTTCTATGAGGTCATACACTCAATGGGGACCTCAATCACTCCAACCACAGAAACTTTATACTTGTAATACATCCATATTGCCTAGATCTGAAGTCCTTTCGGACCATTAAGCACAAACACAAGGAGTATGGTGTTTTAGGGCTTGAAAACCACCATTTTAGGGATAAAAGGTGATCTAAAGAACTAGTGATCAAGGTAGGGGCTTTTCTACTTGAATGGAAGCCTCTTGCAGTGTAGATTTCGGATCTACCTCTCGCCTTTGCACACTACAACCTCTTTCTTCTTCTTCTATGCTCCAAATCTTCTTCATAAAGCCAAAATCACTCTCAAGATCAAAATGGGGGCTAGGGTTTCGCTCTTCAGCTCTCTCGAAGTGTTAGGGACAAAGGAGGCCAAGTTATAGCGTTTAAATAGGGTGCAAACACCCGGATTAGGGTTTTTGCCCAAACAGGGTCTACTCGCCGAGTCCGAGAACCGACTCGCCGAGTCCAAAGTTCAGTCCCCGCGTCTTATCCCACTCCTACTCGGCGAGTAGGTCCATCAACTCGCCGAGTCCAAGACAAAAATGCATTAATTTGAAAATGTTAATTACAAGGAGTATGTACCGGGAATCGGGTGCTACAAATCTCTCCCACTTATCTTAGACTTCGTCCTCGAAGTCTGTTGCTCGATCTTGAAATAGCTCAGGGTAGTGCTCCATCATTTCTTCCACCGACTCCTAAGTTACTCCGATCCTTCCGATGCTGCCATTGCACCTTCATGAGTTCCACCCTTTTGTTCCTCAGATCCTTTGAGTTCCTGTCGAGGATTGCCATAGGCCGCTCGATGTAATTCAGGCTGTCATAGATCTGAATATCCTCCAAAGGCACCACTGCCGAGTCGTCCACCAAACAATTCCGCAACTGAGAGACATGGAAAGTGCTGTGGATCTGGCTGAGATCGGCTGGCAGATCAAAGCTATATGCCACCTTGCCTACCCAGGCTACAACCCTGAATGGCCCGATATACCTTGGGCCAAACTTTCCCCGCTTTCTGAATCGGATGACGCCTTTCCATGGCGACACTTTCAGAAGAACCATATCCCCGACTTGGAATTACAAGTCTGAATGATGCTTGTCGGCATAACTTTTCTGCCGACTCTGTGCAGTCTGAAGCCTGCACCGAACTTGCTTAATCCTCTCAGTAGTCTTGAGCACCACTTTGGTGCTTCCCATGACTCTCTGGCCAACCTCTCCCCAACATATCGGGGTCCTGCATCTCCGACTGTACAACATCTTGAAGGGAGGATGGTCAATACTCGCGTGATAGCTATTGTTGTATGAGAAC